ATGTTGCCCCCACCCCTGCCCGGGCCAGCCTGTTCCAACGCTTGATAAGCCTTTCAGCGAAGAAATGTTTCCAGATATCCAGTCTACATCTCCCCTGGCACAACCTGAGGCTGTATCCTCTCGTTCTATCACTTGTTACTTGGGAAAAGAGACTGACACCCATCTCACTGCACCCTCCTGTCAGGCAGCTGTAGAGAGCGAGAAGGTCTCCCCTCAGCCTCCTCTGCTCCTGCCCTGCTCCTGCTGGCCACCCCATTCCTGATCCAAGCCAGGATGCCGCTGGCCTGCTTGGCCACCTGGGCACACTGCTGGCTCCTGGTCAGCCGGCCGTCGACCAGCACCCCCAGGTCCTTTTCCCCCAGGCAGCTCTCCAGCCACAAAGTTGCTAGTGTATCTTAAAACACAATTTCAACAATTTCAAGATGTCATTCCCATTCTCAGCAACACAAGACAGCAGCCTTGCAGCTTCGGTCCCGCTCTCTAGGCTCACACAAATGGAATTTTGAAAGTTGCAGACTTCACAACAAAAAGCCTCAACAGAAACATGTAGCCCTGTTGTTTGCCTCTGAAAAAGGATTCAGAGCTACGCAGTATTTTTCTTTTGCCCCATGTGAGAGCAGTAGCCCCACTCAGATTCACAGACAACACAATTATCTCTTTGCAGCTTATCAAACGCCAAAAAAAGGGGCCAACACAGACAGGTGGATTAAAGAATCTGTAGAAGCAGAGGATAACTCAGAGAACTGCACAACAGCTCTACAAGCCATGAACATGTTTCCAAAAAGAAGTAAACAAAGCCTTCTGACCTCCAGCACTACCAAGCGTCTCCCTGGCAAAACCACTGCAGAATCCAACAGATATGGCTTCGCTGAGCCAAGCAGCCAAACGTCCACCCAGAAGTACCAGGTTTTTGGTCTTACCTGACTGAGTTTCTCTTGGGTTTCTGCCTTTTCCTCTGCCAGTATCGTCAGCTCCACGCGCAGCCCCTCCTGTTGCTCCTCTGCTTTCTTCAGCAGCCGCTCCAGGTGGGCTTTCTCTGCGCAGAGCTCTGCATTGGTTCTGTTACACAAGTTCAGCTTCTCCTGGTCAGACATCCTTGCTCTCTCCATCTCGGTCACTTTACCTAACAGAACTTCATTCTCGTGCTCCAGCTACAATCACAGAAACACAGAGGAAATAAAATACAGTAAGATCTACTCTGTAGGTTTGGCTTGGACAGCAAAAGGAACGTTTCCACAGTCAGTCATTCTGTCTGCAGGCAAGAAGTGTGAGCAGAAGCAGCAGCTAGAGATGAGCACCTGGCAAGATCTTGGGCAACTCTGCTCACCTGCAGCAGGAGTTTGTTCAGTTGCACCTTATCCAATGCAAGAGCTTTGTTGATGCTGCTCATGTTTGCTGTTGCAAGCCGTAGATCAGCTATTTCAGCACTCAGCTTACTCTGAGCCCCTGTCACCTCTGCTACGGACTGCTCTGCCTGAAGAGACAAAAGAACAACGTGACAACAAAGGCAGGAAAATCCCTGACTCAAGCAGCAACTCCACATCTCCTGTGTGTCTCTGATATACGCCCACTTCAGCACTCCCAATAAGCACGTGGGGACTAACTAGAACCTGTGCAGTCTGATCACCCTTTTCCAAGAAGGAGAACATTTTCCCTGTCTTCTCTTGCCAGAAACAGCATCTGTGGTGGTCTTGCTCTCACAACTCCCTCTCCCACAAGTGCTACCTAGGAAGAAGGTGACCACACCTTCTCCAGTGCCACGGTAAGCTCATGTTTCTCCTGCTTCAGCAGATCCCTCTGAAGGTGTGATTCCTCCAGTGTCTCTCTCGTGACTACCAACTCACTCTGTAATAACGAATGTTTTCCTTCAAGTGCAGCTAGGTCCTTCAGTCTAGGGGAAAGGGAAAGACAAAACAAATTTTTTATTTAAAAATATTCTCATTGCCAAACCCAAGAGTACATACAATATCCCAGATATAGCAGTTTGAATGATTTCCAGAAGCTTTCTATGTACACCTAAAGAATGCTGGAACGTCCTGACTGGAGCTGCATCACTCTGTGGCTGACATAGGTGAAACATTCATCTCTAAGAAAGTGAAACAAGCTTCTAGAAATCACAGAACATTTCCACGAAGTTCAGCTCCTCTCCATTTAACAGCTTCCTGCCTGTTAGCTCTCTCTCTCCTTTTTGATACATTGGATACCCACAGAAGAACTTTGGAAAGTCTTGTTAGACACACTTTTAAGTCCAGATTCAAGTGCCCACAATTACTCTTGCCTTCCACAGTGAAACGATGAAAGAGCCTGCAATCTGTTTGGGGAGGAGGCGTGTATGGATTTCCAATCCAATAATCATAGGATGATTCATGCTGGCAGGGAACCCAGGAGGCCTCTAGTCCAGTCTGCAACTCAAAGTAGCTGGGCTCAGCTATGGGGTCAGCCCAGGTCGCTCAGGGCTCTGTCCAGTTGGGTCTCCCAAATTTCCAGGGGTGGAATCTGCACAACCTCTCTGAGGAACCTGTTCGGCTGCACAATTGCTTTCATGGTTCAGTTTTTTGTTCTCCTTAAATCTAGCCTGAACCTCTCGTTTCAGCTTATGCTGTTCATGAACTACTCTCGTCAGGTTTGGAAAGATCTTTTTAAAGGGTCATAAAGAAAGTACAAGGAGACAGCTATGCTGTATGTCAGCAGCTACCCACACCTGCCACATGCTCCCTTCACCCTTCTGTGCTACAACTGATGAGCATGCAAAATTCATTCTTTTACAGCGGGCCTCCTAAAGTCCATCAATGCCCACCCTTGCCCAGAGAAAGCTTTAATGCTCACAGGAGCTCCTGGTCACGACGTGCTCTCTCCATTGTCTGCTGCTGCTCCACCTTCTCCCCCTGGGCTGAATCTTCCTTCAGCTGCAGTTCAGTGTTACTTTGACGCAGACGCGAGGCTTCTTGCTCCGTTACTTCAAGCTGTTGCTGTAGCTCTTCCCTGGTTTTCTCAAGGTTTGCACAGTCGCTGCAGAGACAAGGCTAAGTCAAGACAAGACCTCTAGCATGAGGTCTGAAGAGTCAAAGATCCCATTTTCATCATTCCAGGATGCAGTTGTGGGGAGAACAGTAAGGAAGAACTTGCTCTTCCCCTCACAAGCTAACTGAAGAGGGAACAAGAAAGGAATACAGGCTTTTGCCTTCATTCAGTGAGCAGCAGTGGCTAGGAAAGGGCACTCAAAGAACAGAATTCAGAGAAGCAGTGTGTCAGGAGGGAGGTGTTGTGTACTGCAACATTGCTCTGAATCTCCAAGACAGCCTGAGGATTCACAGTAGAGCATGAAAGCAGCAACAGCAGGATGCTAAAGTGCCAAACAGATGCATACACATGGTCGGGTAGGCGAGTTCTTTGCCTCTGAACACCTCTGAACTCCCAGAACCAGCTGCAGATTGCCTCAAGAATGCACAGGAGAAGAGGAAACACTCACCTTCTGAGTGCTTCTACCAGAGATTGGAGGTGCTGCTGGTGGCTGCTGGATGTCTTGCATTCCTCCTCCAGTTGCTCCAGCCTTTGCTGCAGCTTCCTGCACTTCTCTTCTTGCTCCCTGTGCTGGTGCATCAGGAAATCGATTGCATCCCGCCTGG